ACAAGGTCTGATGTTACTATTCCAATAATATTGTACCATTTGAAACAAATGGACAAGGTAAAGAAGCAGGATAGATGGGTACTGCATGAATTAAACAAGTATCAGAAGAGAAATTGTCTCGAAGCTTGCCTTTCTTTGCTGTCATGACATAAAGGCAAACCATTTCTGCATCATATTGTTATGTGTGATGAAAATGGATTATTTTTGACAATCAAAAGTGTTCAATACAATGGCTGAATAAAGATGAAGTGCTGAAACACAGTCCAAAACCAAATATTTATCCAAAAAAGCTAAGGGTGTCTGTTTGGTGGTCCAGCGCTGGTATCATCCACTACAGCTTCATGAAACTTGGTCAATCGATTGTAGTAGATGTCTGCTGCAACCAACTGGTCGAAATGATGAGGATGCTTGCGATTAAGCAGCCGAGATTGGCCAATAGAGACAGGTCGATCCTCTTGTAAGACAATGCTCAACCACATGTTGCACAAACAACGCAGCTCAAACTACGAAGCCGGACTTGGAAACTCTCTGTCATCCACCATATTCATCAGTCATGGCGCCAACTGACTACCACTTCTTCCAGGGTTTGGACCACTTCTTCCAAGGAAAAATATTCCATTCTCAACAAGCTGTGGAAAACACTTTTTGCGATTTCATTGCCACTTGCTCTCCAGGCTTCTTTACTGCTGGCATAAACAAGTCATCATTAGGATGGCAAAACTGTGTCGACAGATCAGGTGCATACTTTGATTAATTGAACTGCTTCTTGCTTGAGATATAATAAACTACACTTTTGATTCAAAATTGGGCATTTCATATTCATTGACAAGAAATGGTGTAAACATTAGTCAACTAATAGTTGACAAGAAATGGTGTAAACATTTTCAGGCTATATTTAACTCAAGAGGAAGGAGTCAGGGCAGACAGCAAAACATAAAGGAGGCCCACATTTATGGTAGATCCTGCTTACACAGCTCTACAAACAAGTCACACACCCACTGTCCAGAGGCTCTTTAAGTCTACAACACAGAGGCATCACAGCTGGCAGAGGAGAATCCTTGCCCGCTCAACATACATCTCCAAAGGCCTCAGACCAGCACCTGAGGGGCACAGAGAAATTACCTAGGACAGAAACAGGGTGTCTCACTCATCAGGACAGCTTACCAACCCACAGGAGCTCCGGAGGGCACCTCACATAGGCCTAGCAGGTGACCTTGAGAGTGTGTACACAGATTCCTACCAGCTCCACAACCTCCTGGCCAGGACTTTGGAAGGTGCTTAACCCCCGTCCCCCAGGGACCACATCTGTAGAAGGGAGAGAACATAGTACCCACCTAGGTCAGCTGTCAAGAGGATTATGAGTTAACAGGAGAAGATGGCTTAGGACAGAGTCGGGCACAGGGTAACTGCCTAAGCGTGTAAACGTCAAGCACTGAGTCTGGCTTTACTAACAGCTCAGTCCCACCACTTCCGACCTGAAGAAAGTGAGACAACGGCTCCTTGCCTCAGTTTCCTCATGTATAAAATGGGAAAATAACAGTACTTCCCCCTCATAAGGCTGACTGTGAAGATTAAATGTGGATTTTGTGGCACAGTGCCCAACCCACTGTAAGGAATCAATAACTATATTAATAACTGCTATGCTATAAAGTGATGTACTGGGACTGGCACCTGGCAGTCTTGACACAAAGCTGCCCTCTTATTTCCATCTGAGTGCCCAATGTGCTCTGACTGACCAGTGGAGAAAAGACAATCGGGACAGCACATTTACTGCCAAGGGAGCAGCACACATGAAAAGTTCCAGGCCTACTGCGCCAGCCCCCTGTACCATTACACACATACCAAGTTATGACTCAAATGGACGATCTGCTGCCCCTCAGACAGCCCTGAACTCCGCACTCTTCAGTACGCTGGGACAATGTGCCTTCATGCGTGTTTCCCCTCAACCCATGAACAGCTCACTCACCCTGCAGGACTTGAATGTGATTTCGTCTACGAAGAATTTTCTATTACATTTTCTTCCTGTCCAATCTCTTTTTTTTTTTTTTTGAGACAGAGTCTCACTGTGTTGCCCGGGCTAGGGTGCCATGGCATCATCCTAGCTCACAGCAACCTCAAACTCCTGGGCTCAAGCGATCCTCCTGCCTCAGCCTCCCAAGTAGCTGGGACTACAGGCATGCCCCATCATGCTCGGCTAATTTTTTCTATATATTTTTAGTTGTCCGATTAATTTCTTTCTATTTTTAGTAGAGATGGGGTCTCACTCTTGCTCAGGCTGGTCTTGAACTCCCGAGCTCAAACAATCCGCCCGCCTCGGCCTCCCAGAGTGCTAGGATTACAGGCATGAGCCACCGCGCCCGGCCCCTGTCCCGGCCCCTGTCCCGGCCCCTGTCTGATCTCTTAAGGCACTCAGGTTCTACTTTTGATCTGCATTTCTATCATTAGCCAAGCACCGGGCATTCAAAGAACAGTAGCAATGACCCTCTCAGGCCTTTAGCACAAAGCAGGGAGGTGGACATGCCAGATCCTAGAGGTTTAGCAACCTGTTTGATCGCGGCTATGGAGCCTGGGAAAGTAACAGAAGTGGTGACCTGGCTGGCCCGTTATGGACCTTGGGAGGTAAGGCAGGCCTTTTTGGACAACGCAAGAGTATGCAAGAGATGAAGCAAGAACAACAGCCAGATTGTGAAGGAGTTTGAGAATAACACGCCAAGAAGTTTAATAGCTAGTATTGCTCACGCCTGTAATCCTAGCACTCTGGGAGGCTGAGGTGGGAGGATCCCTTGAGCTCAGGAGTTTGAGACCAGCCTAAGCAAGAGCAAGATCTGGCCTCTACAAAAATACAAAATTAGCCAGGTGTGGTGGCAAGCGCCTGTAGTCCCAGCTACTAGGGAGGCTGAGGCAGGAGGACTGCTTGAGCCCAGGAGTTTGAGGTTGCAGCAAGCTATGATGACACCACCGCACTCTATCCAGAGTGACAGAGCAAGACTCTGTCAAACACACACACAAACAAACAAAATAATAGCTAGTATGTAGAAAACACTTAATATGTGCTAAATGCGCTATCTTATTTCATTCTTATAAACCACCGTGAAAAGTAAGATGTACATTATCTCTACTTTAGAAATGAGAAAACTTCCTGAAATTAAAGTATGCAAAATAAAGAAGATGCAGTTTTACACAAAAAAGAAAAAAGAAAAGCGAGGAAACAATCCAAGTGCCCATCAATACATGAGTAGATTAATAAAATGTGCTGTTTGTATACCACGGAGTTCTACTTAGCCACAAAAAACAATGGTGATCTAGTACCTCTTGTATTATCCTAGATAGAGCTGGAGCCCATACTACCAAGTGAAGTATCACAAGATGGAAAAACAAGCACCACACGTACTCACCATCAAACTGGTATTAACAGACTTAACTAACACTTAAGTGCACATATAGTAATAACATTCATAAAGTGTCGGGCAGGTAGGAGCAGGGGAGGAGGGATGGTATATTCACACCTAATGGGTGCAGTGCACACCATCTGGGGGATGGACACACTTGAAGCTCTGACTCGGGTGGGGCAAAGGCAATATATGTAATCTAAACATTTGTACCCCTGTAATTTGATGAAATTAAAAAAAAAAAAAAGAAACGAACGAGAAAACCGAAGCTCAAGTGGTGAAGGCACATGTGTCTATTCTACAGGGCACACTATCCTATTCCCCTATGCCTACTGTTCACCCAGCCCTGGGGTAGGTATGAAGGACTCTTACTGAAGTCAGTTTCAAGTCTGTCTTGCCTGTTACACACGCTGTCATCTCCTTGCACTAAGGATGATATGTGATTTGATGCAAAGATGTGGATTGCACACTGTGTGACAACATTAGCTCCTGAAGGCAGGGGCCAGCTCTCATTTACCTTTATCTCCCAGCAGCTAGAACAGAGCTTAAATAGAAGCACACAGTGTAGCACAAAGGCTTTGCAGACATTAAAGACCTAAATGCATGCCCCAGCCCTTACCAGTTGTGTGACCTTAGGAAATTTATTTCTCCTTTCTGTGTCTTAATTTTTCACCAACCTACTAACGTATCTTTACCAGTAACAATAAATACTTAAAAAAAAAACCCCATGTCTCCTAAGTTGCATACAGGATGGCAGTTGCTGAACTGAGTTTGAAATGAAGGTAAATAATACTGTGGGACTGGACCATAAACACAGGAAAGAAGAAAGCGATGAGACCTTCCACAGAAGGTACCGTTTCAGTTATCTCCCAAGGGACAAAGTCATGTGCCTCCATGGAGAGGGAGATACATTCATTCTCCAAACATCTCAGAAGCATCCTGTGTAAGCTCTCATCCATGGACCTTAGGTCGGTAGTGCTCACAGTCTAAGTGAGGAAGGGTTAAAACAAGTACAAGACGCCACAGCAACTCAGAAGTGATTAACTATGCCAGAGGCAGCTGGAGGAGTGACCAAAAACCACGTGTGGAGGGTCTCAAGAAGGGACAAGAGTTTTCCAGGAGAAAGTCATTCCAGATCGTAGAAAAGTTGAGGCACGGAGTTTAAAAAGTCAATACTGCAAGAGCGAGACCCTGTCTCTAATAAAAACAGAAAGAAATTGGCTGGACAACTAAAAATATACAGAAAAAATTAGCCGGGCATGGTGGCGCATGCCTGTAGTCCCAGCTACTCGGGAGGCTGAGGCAGGATTGTTTGAGCCTAGGAGTGTGAGGTTGCTGTGAGCTAGGCTGACGCCACGGCACTCCCTCCAGCCCGGGCAAAAGACTGAGACTCTGTCTCAAAAAAAAAAAAAAAAAAAAAGTCAATACTATGTAACTATCACGGTCTCCATTTTACAGACGAGGAAACTGAGGCACAAGGAAGTACGCAGCTAGCCAGCGTGGGGCCCCGATCCTGGCAGTCCGCGCTATCCCGAGCTAGTTCAAAGCGCAGGGGCGGCGGCCGGGGCGGGGAGGGAGGCCCACGGCGGGCAGGGGACGCGGCCCGCTTACCTTCCTGATGGCCCGCGCGCGGGACACGCCGGGCAGTCCCACATCGTGGCGCGTCTTCCTGCCCAGGATCTGAAACTTCTGCCTGTTGACTTTCACTTCGAACGGGTTGGGGCAGGCCTTCACCGGGTCTCGCCGCGCCCCCAACGCCTTCCTTCGCGCCCCGGCCGCCTTCGCCTTCCCCATGGCGCACACGCCGTCGCACCCCTAGGCGCCGGTGCCTCCCAGGTTTCCGAGACACAGTGGAGGTAAGCCCGTCCGGCGACCCTAGCTGCGGAAAACTGCCGGCTGCGGAGCGCGTCTCCTCGGCAACACGTGCTGAGCCGCGGGGCAGCACCCAGCGTCGTCTCGCGGTAGCTGCGCAAGCTCCCGGAGATCGCGAGTAGACAGGTCCGGGAATTGCAGTATTGCCAGGCTTCCGCTCAGGAGTAGGCTGAAGGACTACAACTCCCAGCAGGCCACGCCCCCGCGGCCCGTCGCGTCTTCCCGGCGCGGAGCCTTCTGGGAGCTGTAGTACCCCGCGAGGCGCCGCAAGCACCTCGGGCTTGGAAGCAAGGGGAGACCTCCGGCGCCCTCTTCTGGAAAGCCGTTAGCGCGGAGCCGGCCGGTGTGCGAGTAGCGGGCGACGGCGGCAGCGGCGGCGGCAGTAGCTGTCGCCGCCCCGCCGCCAGGGGTGGCGCCCCTGCCAGTGAGCCCCTCGGCGATGACTCGGGGTTGCCGGGGGCCAGGCCCTGAGGAGGAAGTTGCACGCGCTGGGCGAGGGCGTTGGGGCTGAGAGGAGCCGGAGCGAACAGCGCGGCGGCGGTGACAGCGGAGACTCGCGGCGGCCGGGCTGCCCGCTCCCCTCGCCCCGGCCGTCCCCTCGCTGGGGCCCGCGGCGAGGCCTCCCCGGGCCGACCTCCGCGCCGGCGGCGGCGGCGGCGGCG